GTTTTCTTCATTCTTCTTTGCTCTGGACGAGGAGAGACCCATTGTTGCATCTAGATGGCTGCTTGCAAGCTTTAAGATCCCAGTCGCTACTTGCCAAAGTAGGATGTGGAACAATGTTTTGTGTAGTATGTCCCCTGCAACTATGGTCCCGAGCCCACAGGTTCAGCTACTCAGTCCCTCTGGGTAGCTGGCTGTGACCAAGAAGTGACTATAACCTTGTCCCTTGTCAACTCCACTATACCCCTGGGAATTTTTACAGAACATACAGATACACTTGTAGAACCATTGTCTGCCAGCGCTGCTGGCAGAGACACTCCCTGCTGCATAGACATGACTAATAGTTCAGCCTGTCCACCCCTCTATCCACCCATATACCCGTGTTTGCCTTCACTGACAACACAGTACTATATGTGCAAAAGGGTTCATCTTTGTTGTCTGCACCTCCCATATACCTCTCTCTGTCTTCCTCTTCCTTAATGCCAGCATGTTGATCACTCACATTTGGTACATTGCCCTTCTCTTCACCAAAATCAATACTTATCTCTACCTATCTAACAGTGAGAAAACAGAACCTATTCTTAGGTCCCTGGAATTCGAATGAGAATGCTATCACTTCAAAATCCAATAATGGTTACCACTTGTAAAGATTCAGAATGGCTGCACCCTCGGTCACTTTAAATATCCAAAATGGCCACCGGTTGTAAACATTCAAAATGGCTTCACCCTTGGTCACTTTAAATATCCAAAATGGTTGCATTGTGTAATCAATCAAAATGGCTGTGCCCTCCCAACAGCAGAAAGTCAACAGCTCAGATTGTCTCCCTCATTGCTGTTTCTCTCCCTAGTCATAGGCCACCAGTGCAGTTGTCCCTGCAGCCCTTGGTGACCAGGGCTGATCTTTAGGTCAATTCTCGGGTCCCAACACCACTAGGAAATATTCAGGCTATTAGTCCTGTCAGTGTAGCTGACAGTTCGCAGCTCAGACCAACTCTGTTTTCATTCAGGTTTTTCCACTAGTTGGTGCCTAATCCGCTTCCGTATAGTTCCTTTCAAAGCTCAGGGCTCCAAGATTATCTTTTGCTCTGGACGAGGAGGGACCCATTGTTGCATCTAGATGGCTGCTTGCAAGCTTTAAGATCCCAGTCGCTACTTGCCAAAGTAGGACGTGGAACAATGTTTTGTGTAGTATGTCCCCTACAACTATGGTCCCGGTTTTTCTTTTCTTTGTTGAAGAGGGTCTGTGTCACTTGTTTGCCTATTCCTCCCTCGGCATGGTGTTTTAAAGATCTACTGCTTTGAGTAAAACGTTTACTTGGGCTGTGCCACTTATTTGTTCCCCAACCCCAGGTTTGTGAATCTTATCTCGGAGAGGAGAACAAAGTTTGTCAAGCTTCCCCTCAAGTTCCTGGCTCAAGAGGTTCGTATGAATAAGTGGCCTCACTCAATTAGCTCTCTCCAGGAGGACTCACTAAATGGGAACATGGACTAAAGTGGGCATACAGTACTACTAGCTTATCACATCATTACCAGCTAAGCCCAGCAAGAACCCAAGAGCCTCGGATTCCAGCTTAAAGGAAGCAGAATTGCTTCCTTGCTCATGACTAGTATCTCAGTGGCTTGGCCTGCTCATCTTCCTTTGAGTGGTCCAGTGAAACTGAGGAGCCTGAATGCACCACTGGGTGGGGACAGGAAAGAGGTGGCTGTCACAGCAGCTGCCCTTAGGGAACTGACAACCTGAGAGAGGAGATAGCTTCAGCCAAGTAGCGCTAAATGCCAGACATTCTTGCCCTGAGTGAGTATGTGAGGTATGTAGGGGCCCAAAGGGTAAGCACATTCTTAGTCATCAAGAGAAGCTTCCTGGAGGAAACATAGGAGGGAGTGGTAATGGGTATCCAGGGAGAGGGGACTGATGCAGACAGGTCAGAGGAGGCTATGAGTTTATTAATGTGCATTCACAGAGATCTCTTTGCTAGAGGAGGTTGGTTGGTGTTGAGGGAAGCACATATTTCCTGATTTTCAAGGCCACCTCCATAGAGCTATGAAAAGAATCAGGTGAACTAGGTTCTAATCTTAATATAAGACTAGAACCTTCTTTTAAGACCTCAGTTTCTCTGCCTGTAAAATGGGAGATCAGACAAATTCATCTCTGTGGTCCCTTCTAACTTTAATATTTTATTTCTGTGCCCACACTTCCCCCCAAATCAGGTGAACATTCCAGATTGGATTGTTGAACTTCGTCATGAGTTAACCCACAAGAAAATGCCTCATATAAATGATTGTCGCAGAGGTGAGTCCTCATGGCAGGGGGTATACCTATAGTAGTTAAGCCCAGAGGCCTAGGCTAGGTGGCACTGGGACTGGAGGGTTTGGGATAACCCACCCGGGGTCATGGCCAGAACTAGGGTGAGGCAAGTGAAGCACTTGCCTTGTGTGTAAAATTTAAGGGGCACAAAAACCCAGTAATCAAGTAATATTTAAAAAAATGAAATTTATACAAAAAAGCAAAACACTAGTTTATAGTTTCTGTTTTTGAGAGAGACTTTTCCCCCAGTGCATGTTAGAATTCCTTTGGGGCTGAGATATTGAATATAGTACTACCAGAGGAAAGAGGTTTATTTAGAACCCCTGCCTAGTTTTCCTCCCTTGTCAGGACATGAGGCAGATTAATCAAGAGTAGGTTGATTAAGGTAACAAAATATAACTTTTACTGAGTGTTACTCTGCCACTGTTCTAAGAATTTCACATGTATTTACTCATTTCAATTTCAAAACAGCCCTTGAAGAAAGAAACTCAGGTAGATTAAGTAACCTTCCTTAGGTTATATAGCTAGAAATAGCTCTATAGCTGGAGACAAATTGTTAACCCAGCTGATCTGACCCACTCCTCCTCCCTGCATCTTCCTGTTACTTTTCAATTAGGCAAAGTAAGAAAAGCTGAGAATTACTGGTTTGCTCTCCTGGGATGGGGACAAAAGGTTTAGCAAGATAAATGGATGTTACTTCATTCAGTCAGTCAGCAAACAATGACTGAGGCCCTGTGTTAGGTGCTGGGGATTCACAGAAGACACATTGTTTGGTCTTAAAGACCTCACAGACCTAGGTTGTTGTTGTTGTTTGCTGTAAGTCGGACCCGACTCATAGCGACCCCTCCTTGGGTTTCCAAGGCAGTATCACTACGGAAGTAGATTGCCCAGCCTTCCTTCTGAGGAGTGGCTGGTGGGTTTGAACCGCCAGCCTTTTGGTTAGCAGTCAAGTGCCTTAGGCACTATGCTACCAGAGCTCCCCACAGACCTATAAGAAGGGGAAACTAGAAATTGTCATGTGGTGTGGTAAGAGCAGTATTGGGATATATCCTAACTGTCTTGGTGGCATGAAAGGAGTGAGAAAAGACTTCACAGAGAAGGTAGTGCTTGTACTCAGTGGTAAGGAGTAGGAGTTCATTAGCTACTTGAGTGATACAAGAAAGGCATTCCAGGCAGAGGAACTAAGAGGTACTTAAATGTAGGTGAAAGACAGGGAAGGAATGGGAGTTATGGGAGGCTCAAGGAGCTGGAAGCAGATTGTCAGGACTTGAACCTCAGGGTCCTGGGAAATAATAGCTAAAGAGAAAATTGGAGCATTAGTCTGAGGTCAGATCATGGGTGTGTATATAGGATGTATAAGGGAAGTATCTTCATGGAGGAGTGGTTAGGTCCTAAAGTAAGCATGTTAGGTCAAGATTGTATTTGGTTAGCATTTTCCTTGAATCACATGTAGTAGTTTCCTAGAATCCACTGAGAGAATAGTAGATTCACATCTGTGTCATATATACCTTCCAGAACTTGGGTCCAGGGCAGAACTGCCTGCATTATTGAAGTACCTACACAGTTGATTTTTTTTCCCACCCAAAGTACAGGTTGAATTTGTGTTTAATTTCCAAGTAATAGTTGTTAAGAATTCATAGTGTACTGAGAAGTTTGGAAGGGCTCCAGCAGTAGTGAGCTCAGCAGAACTCTCTAGGCTAGAAATACCAAGTAGTAAAAGTTGAAAAACAGATGAAAAACTCCTAGTGAATATGTGTGGAAATGGAAAGCAGAACATTAAGGATAGGGCCTAGGAAAACCCCAGAATTTAAAGGGCAGGCTGAGGGGTAAGAAAACAGGCAAGAAGAGTGGTGGTGTCTTTGGAGCCAAGGGAGAAGAGTTTGAGAGATGTGAACCATCAGCAGTGTCATATGATACAGAGATGGCAAAGACAATGAAGACTGAGGGGAACCCATTGATTTGGGCCATTGAGAAGTTATTGATAAGTCTTTGTAGCTTTAATTAAGGTCTCTAGGTAATGCAAGCAGTTTATTCTCACCTACTAACCTAAAGGTTGGCAGTCCAAACCACCTAGTGGTACTGTAGAAAATAAAGATTACCCCATGGAACAGCTGTACTTTGTAACACATGGTATCTCCATGAGTCAGCATTGACTCAGTGGCAATGACCTTGGGCTTGGTAGGTTTAATTGGGTTATCTATCTCCTTACTTTGCTGCTTTTTTTTCTCCACAGCACTTTTCACTGCCTGATATATTTGTTTCTTTCTTCTCCACTAGGATATAAGTTTCATGAAGATAGGGACTTTGTTTTGATTACTGTTGTATTTCCAGTGTTTAAAATAATCCATGATACATATTAGGTTCTCAGTAAAAATTTGTTGACTGAATGAAGAACTGCTGGATTATATATGCTGTGGCCCCTTATTAAAAAAAAAAAAAAAAAGTCCATGCTTAAAGTTTACAAGCTGCTTGAGACCCAAGAATTCTTTGGACACCTACCTACCCAGTACTGTTCAAGAACTTTTGATTTAGCCTAGCTCCTTTGTAACGGGGAAACTGAAAACTACAAAAGGGAAAACACTTGTCTAGGGCCATGAAAATACCTAGTAGGTCTGGATACCAGTTCTCTGACTGCCAGCTCCTTACCATCTTCATCATACCATCTCCAACTAGTTCTTTCTAGGAAGGTTCTGGCAAGGAGAAAGCAAAGAACAGGGAGATAAACCAGAGTGAGAGAGGCTTTCTCTGGATATTTGAGGTTTGAGCAAACCTCTTCCCTGGGGCCTTCCCAGAATGCCTACTAGGTGACAATTGACAGTGGCCAAGAGAGCTGTGGGCATTCTAGGAGCTGCTTGCCTGTAACTAGACCTATGATATTGCCTGCCTTTTGTCCTTTAGGCTGCTACTTTGTCTTGGATTGGCTTCAGAAGACCTATTGGTGCCGCCAGTTGGAGAACAGCCTGAGAGAGTCCTGGGAGTTGGAGGACAGGGAAGAAACAGATGAAGAAGACCAAGAGGAAGATAAGAACATTGTTGTTGATGACATCACAGAACAGAAACCAGAGCTTAAGGAAGATGTGAAAGGCACAGAGGTGGATGTCAGGGCTGATGAAGAGAGCAAAGAGGTGGATTCACATTTGGAAAAGGCTCTGAGGCGTAAACAGTTATATGGTAGGTGTCCTTGGGCAGAGAAGGGCCCATGAGCCTAGAATGCTCAGGTTTAGGGTTAAACACTGGTTATTTCTTGGGTCAGCATTTCCTTTGGGGCTTTGGTGAGTCCTGTCTTAAAAAATTAAAGTCATAAACCATCTTACTTAAGCCCTATGAAATAGGAGTGAGCAGATATTGTAGTTCCCAATCTATAACTCAAGAAATGAGGTTCCAGGGTTTCAGAATCTCATCAGGAGCAGAAAGCTGAGCTGGCTGCCTTATCTGTATCCCCATTTTGTTTTCAGAAAGAGTCCGAGAACTGCTGGTATCTTACGAAGAGGAGCAATTTAAGGTAAGTAAGTGCCCTTGATCTGGTGTTTCTTTCCTCTTGCCAGCTCCCTGGAAGTGAAATCCTGAGAAGGAATTTGAAAAAGAAGTGGCAAAACTTGGGGAAACTGCTTAGAAAGAGAGAGGGGGGAACAAGAAGGGAGGCTTATCCTCCATACTGATGGAAAGGAACAGATGATAGAAGTTTGTGGATAATCTGCCCTGCTGCGTGATGGGACACAACTAAGTATAGGTGCTTGCACAGTCTTGTAGTATAGCTGATAACCACCAGATGGGACCCAAGAACTTTCTTAGATCAGGTGAGCTTGAGGGGTGCTTTTTTGGTAGGAAGGAGGTAGCTTAAAAACCATCCAGTTCAACCGTTTCTTTTCACAGATGGGTAAGTGAAGGGAGTGGCTAAAGGCCACATAAGCAGCTAGTGGTAGAACTAGGATTAGAACCTGAGTCTTATGATTCCCATTCTTCCATACCCTACTGCCTCCCCATACCCTTTGGCCCAAGGATCTCTGCCCATCTCCAACCAGTTGTCCCCATTGGATCTCTCAGTATTGAAGTATCTTGTAATTTGGAGCCACAGGGAATTTGGGAGTATTGTCAAGCTTGGCATTTGAGGGTCAAGTTATTTTTAATAGGTAATTCAAGGGCACCCCTGCATGTCCTGCCTTATTTCCTGAGGAAAAGTACAAAGCCAGAAGGTCCTATAGGAAAGGATCCTAGAGGGGTAAGATGGACTGCCTGGCTGAATCAGCCTTCTCATGGGATCCTCTTGACTGGCAGGTACTGGAGGAATTTAGAAATTTACCTCAGGCTGTAAAGGTGTGGAATAACCTATCCCCACGTGTAGAATGCATCCTGGCAGAGCTCAAGAACATTACACGGGAGAACAGGTGTGTAACTAGGTATTCGGGCTGCCTGCTCTCTAGGCTAAAGGGTAACAGCCTCATTAAAATTGGTTTTCATATCTCAGCTTACTAACCTTTGCTATAGGAAATCCCAGGGGTAATCCTGACTCCCTACAGAGTGACCCTGTGTTTTGTATCCTTGTGTTATACTTCCTGTCCTGCCAGCTACCAGATAGGGGTTGTCTTCTCTGAGTCACTGGAATGGCCAAAGGTAGAAATGTCCACCAGTAGTCCATCTCCTGGCCAGCCTTATATCTGTCTCTCAGGTGGTACGTGGAGCTCTTGACAACTACAAGAAGCTCTTAATCCTTCCTAACTTTCAGTTTACCCATTGTCCATGTTTTAGGGGAAACGATAAATGGTAGGCTCTACCAGCCTTTTTTTTAAAAATGTTATTGGAAGCTGTTAGCCTCTGGATGATTGATGTTGGGAGTACAGAGGAGGGACCATCCTCTGACCTGGATACTCATTAGATTAAGTTCTTCCTCTTTCAGCATAGCCATCAGTCTTTTGCCTTCCAAAAAGTAGTTCTCAGTTAAATCTGTTGTTAAGTGCCATCAAGTCAGTTCCAACTCATAGCAACTCTGTCCAGTCCTGTACCCTCCTCACAATCTTTGCTGTGCTTGAATTGAGCCCATCGTTGCAGCCGCTGTATCAATCCATTTCATTGAGAGTCTTCCCCTTTTTCACTGACCCTGCACTTTACCAAGCATGATATCCTTGGCTTTCAGTGGCCATTTTTTTTTTTTTTCAGAAGTGGATGGCCTCGTCCTTCTTCCCAGTCTAAGTCTGGAAGCTCCACTGAAACTTGTCCACTATGGGTGACCCTGCTGGTATTTGAAATACCGATGGCATAGCTTCCAGCATCACAGCAACACACAAGCCACCGCAGTACAACAAATTGACAGATGAGTGGTGGCTTTAGTTAAATCTAGAGCAGACAAATAGTACCCCTATCCATTCTTCTCTCCTGTCTAGTTCTTGAGTGCTTTCTGCTTCAATTCAGCTGATAGCAGTTTGGGGAACCTTGTACTAAGATCCTGTGGAGGCAGTGTTAGATCCTCCCAGCTTGGGAGAGGTTGGAAGGAATATGAGAAGGAGCAGAGTGTAGGTAGGTGACGTATATGGCAGAGCACGTCTGGGTAGGAGCCTGCAGTGTAGGCTGGAGTTGCCTTCTGGAATCTGGTCTTTATTCCTAGGATTCTACTATTCTAAAGGTGTTTTATCTGTGTATACCTAGCCTAGGCTTCTTGGCTTTACCCTTGAGCAAAAGGGTGGGTGGCAGCCTCCTTAGCAGCTGGGAATACTCTCCTTGTACTCATGTACAACAGTATCTGGCTAGTAGTACTGTGCAGGAAGCTGGCTGGCTGGTTTAAATACTCTTCCTGGATACTGACCTGAGGAGATAAGATGAGGATGGAAGGACAACTGTTTCCCCCTCAAGCCTCTTCTGGGCTAGAGAGGCATCTGAGCATGCCAACTCTCCAGGCATTGGGAGCTTTTGGGCCCCTTCTAGTGGTTGGCTGGGGGAGCCTCTCTTGGGAAACCACTAGTTCTGGAAGAAACAGCTTGCTGTTACTTGTTTAAGCTTGAGCTAAATGGATACCCTTCTAGCCTGCTTCTTCAACTCCTCCAACAAAGGCCTGCAGATCACATTTGGTCTAGCAATTGCATCCTTAAAGTTTCTACTTCTAGGATATGAAAGCAGGCAACCAGTGATAAAGGAAGGGGTAGGGGATTTGAGAATTGTGAAGAGAAAGAAAAAGACTAAGCAGGAACTGAATCCAGAAGCCTTTGACCCTCTTATCCCAGGCATTTAACTTCTCATCAGTGAGCCTGGGACTTGTCCATCTTTTTTGTGGCTTGTGCATCCACTACTGTCCTTAGTAGGGGCATTAGATGAGGATATACTTGGTAAATAATCATTCAAAACCCACTGACTCCAACTTCCAGCCCAGCTCTTATGCTAGGAGACCAAGGTCTTAGATCTGTCAGCTACCTTCCTCCCCCTGTGAGTGTTTTGGTCACTTCCTGCCAGAGCCATTGGCTTACTTGTGGGTGGATGAGGGTATAGGAGAGGGTCTTCTTCATACTTCAGCTTACTAAACTGGTGTCCTCTTGCTCTAGTGAGGCTGTGCTGGATGCTTTTCTGGATGATGGCTTTCTCATCCCCACATTTGAACAGTTGGCAGCCTTGCAGATAGACTATGAAGGTAGGGTCCCTGGGGGCTTGGGTGGGAACACAAGGGTTGGGCTGGGTAGCCCTGGGCTGAGGGAGGGGTGGTGAGGGCTGTTTCCTGTCACTGTATGTTCTCAGGAAGCCTTCAGCCCTCCTGGTAGCCCCATTGATATACATTTGTAGTTGTGGGGCTATCCTTAGATGGTCTGGAGTGGGGTGGAGCAGGGTGGGTTGGGGGGAGTCTTAATGCTATTATTGTGCTATGTTAATTGTGATTTAGTCACTAGCTAGAGAGCTAGAACAGCAGAACTAGAAGGGCCTTGTAAGGTCATCTAGTCCAACATCCTCATGTTACAGATGGGCAGACTGAGGTCCAGAGAGGGGAAGGTACTGACCCAAAGTCACACAGTGAGTTATTGACACAGCTAAAGCTAGAACCAGAGCTCTTTTTCTTCTATACTTTGTTTTAGGTCAGTTGTTGGGTGCCAGATACTAACTAGTTTCTCTCTCCCCTGCTGTTTTGCTCTCCTCTTTCTTCTTGTTCTGCGGTGGCAACTCTGTTGTTGGTGGTGGTGGGGGCTTGCTCTCCCTCCTGTTGGCCCCCACCTCCCCTTCTGTCATTGGTGCCCCTCACAAACCAGAAAACGTGGACTTGAATGACATCCTGGTGCCAAAGCCATTCTCTCAATTCTGGCAGCCCCTGCTTAGGGGCCTTCACTCCCAGACCTTCACGCAGGCCTTGCTGGAGAGGATGCTCTCTGAGCTGCCAGCCTTGGGGGACAGCGGGATCCGGCCAACCTACATCCTCAACTGGATCATTGAACTGATCGTGGCCAACACCAAGACTGGTGAGAGAGGCTAGCCCTAGCCCAGGGCCTAGGGCAGCCCAGGCAAGTGCATCTGCCACTGTCCTCAGCTCTCGGCCTCAGAGAAGTACCAGGCAGACACCTCCTTTGTTAAAGGTTTAGGTTTGCCCAAGAGGTCCCATGGCAACAATGGATAAATCTCCCTCCCACTTCCTTCTTCTCAGAGCCAACTAAACTGGGCTGGGACAAAAGGCCCTGAATGCTTTGAGCAGATGGGAGGTATAGGGTTGAGAGTCTGGGGGATGGGGAGGGATGAAGCCAAGCTTTTTGAGGATAGGTTGGGTGGGGGGCTTTACTGATTCATTCTTCTCAGTCCTCTCTCCTCTTTCAGGACGAAATGCCCGCCGCTTTTCTGCAAACCACTGGGAAGTGAGAAAGAGCTGGAGACTGTTCAGCTGCCCTGCTTCCCTTGACTGGCCTCGGGTGGTTGAATCTTGCTTGGGCTCACCTTGCTGGGCCAGCCCCCAACTCCTTCAGCTGTAAGTCTCATGAATTCCATCTGGTAACAGGGGGAAAGCTTACCAGCAAGGCTAAGGGCCGCAGAGCCCTAGAATGGTTGAGCTGGAAGGGCCCTGTCGAGATTGGGCATTTAGTCCAATCTGCCTTCCATTGACAGAGGGAAGGCTGAGTCCCAGAGTATTGAGGGACAGAGCATTCTGTCTAAAATCATACAACTAAATTGATTCCAGCATGAAAATGATGAGACAGTCCCCCTAGAGTGCTTAGCACAGTGACCTGCACAGAGCATGCTCAGTAAATGGTAGCTGCTGCTCATTGTTGATCCCCCATGTCTTGTGACTCTTAAGCCCAGTGCTGTCTCCTCCATTATCTTTCATTATCTGATAGCTGTTCAACAATCTTCAGTGACTCCCTGTTACTTCTCTTCCTGATGAAGTCTAGACTTCTTGACATTCAAAGATCTTTCTGATTCTGTCCCAAACTATCATGGTTACCCCATATCTCCTATGATTCACCTTTAGCCAGTCCACCCTAGGTTTATAGTCAAACTGAATACTGTACTGGCTCCTTTACCTTTTCTGTCTTTCTGAACCCAAGCCACTTCCCTCATATTCATGGAAGCCTTTAGCATCTGATTCTCTTCCTGCTTTCTGAAACAGTATCTCTTTCACTTGGATGATTCATCTGACACTCTACAGCTCTTCAACCCCAGTGACCTTCATTCTCCACTGTACTTAGCAGCCCATTTCCATCACCCAGAGCTCTTCCACTTCTGAAAAATGACATCCTGACATCCCACTTGGTGACTACTATTTCTTGTCCTTCCAGTTCTTACCTTCACATTCCATGACATCTGCTCTTTGCCGGCATTTAGCCCTCCATTTACTACCTCCCTCAGATCTTGCATCCTCAATCCTGTCTGTGGTTGATCACTTCAGCCTCACATCAGCACCCTTAATTCTGCCCATCCTTTGGCCATATCTGACTGACAGACCCCAAATTGGGATTGATTTTCCCCACTCTGCCTCCCCTGCTCCTAAGCCTGAGTGGCTGAGCTCTACTGGAAAAAGCCACGTAACCCTGGGGATTGCTACCCCAGGGTTGTAGAGATATACTTTTTATTCTTGGACCAGGCCTCAGTTTGTATCTGAATTTTAACTTCTTTTCTGACCACTGTCTTTCCCATTTCCTGACTATTCTAAACCCTTATCACTCACCTCAAGACCCTCCCTGCCTCTCATTTCACCCTACCTTCTTCAAGCACATGGAGGCATCTGACAGGGCCCCCTCGACCTGAGATCCAGCCCTTGTGTACTTCACTGTGGCTGTACTCAACTTTCCTGCCAGTCTCAGGATGAGGTGGCCTCACCCTGTCTCAAAGCTTGCTGTCACCAGTGCTCTGGAGCCACCTCTGCCTGCATTGCTAGGTCTCACTCACCCCAGCCTTTCCCATGCTTTACTGGCTCTTGCTCTTCAACCTATGAAAGTGATTAAGGTTTTCTCATCTTAAAACAAAACAACAATAACAACAACAGAAACACAATCTCCTTTGACCACGCATCCCTTTGTAGCTACCAGGTTACCATCCTTCCGTTCTCATCCAAACATCTCCAAAGTGTAGTCTACACTCAACAATCTCGATTTCCTTACTACCCTCTTACCCCTCAACCTACTGCAGGTTGGCATTCATCCCCTGCCCCCGTGCTACTTTGACCACCGAATTGATCCAGTGGGCTCTCTTGTCAACCCTACCATCTACAATGTTGATGCTATTTACTGTTCCCTCCTTGAAAGACTTACACTTTTTATTGGTTCCTATAAAGTGCCGAGGCCCAAATCTCTATAGCCCAGGCCTTTCCCCCAAGCTTCAGCCTCCTATAGGACATCTCCCCTTGGATGGACTAAAACAGAATTGGTCATCTTATTCCTTACCCCAGCCCCCAAAGTGATCCTCCTCTAGTCCCTGTCTCACTTGGTGGTAACACCAGCTACCATTATTCTGTTGACTCTCAAATACTTCCCAAATCAGATAGTTTGTGTTGCTGTGTCACCTTCCCTTTATCAGACTGTAAGATTTTCAAGGGCAAAGGCTCACCATTAACCATATGTTTCCTAGCACACCACACAGGTACAGGCACCAAACAGACTTCAGTAAATGTTGTTGAACTGGATTGTATTCTGCTGTCTCATAGTCAGTGGTGCTTCACTTGGTGGGAGCTGACTCAATGCTTGGTGAATGAATAAATTGGGAATCTGGGTGCCAAGACCCTCTTAGCCCCATAATTGCTTTATAGAGTCTGAGCTCTGATGGCATTTGGGGTACAGGGTTTATATAAGAGGAAAAAAAGTAGACTTGTGGACAGAGCCAACCAGACCAAGGCCTTTAAGAGACAATATTGAACCAAACAGCCAAATCTCTAGATGTGGGTGTTTTAGATTAGAAATGGTATGGATGGGTGGGAAATTGGGAAACCCAAAAGAGCCTGGAGTAGTCAGGAAAAGCGTAAAAGAGGAGGCATTTGAGCAGTTCAAGCAAGAGAAGGAATAAAGGAAGTTTCCGAGTCAGAAGGAACATGATATGTAATTGGGGGAGGGAGTGAAAAGAGCAGCATGGAAAGGTTTGGATAGGTGGCCTTTAAGGTACTTTCCAATCCTAAGTGTCTACAGAGTGGAAGCTGCTGGTATTGGAGAAGTTTGGACCACAGAGATCTTCTCCCAACCCAAGCATACCAGAGGGATGCGACACATGCCAACAGTAACAGCGCCTCACTTGGGTACGATTCCTTGTACACAGACCCTGCCCCAGATAATCAGTTAATCTAGTCCTAACCATTATGCAGATTGGGAACAGATGGGATTTTTCCCAGGTACTATGATGCAAGTCAGTAGCAGAGCTGGGGCCAGAATCTGGATATGTAGTCCTTAGTCCTGTGCTCTGTCTACAATGCTTCATTTTATTATACTATAGCAAAACCATCCATTACTAGAGTCATACAGAACTTGGCTTTTATCCCCTGAGAGAATAAATTGGTTAGGTATAAGGAACCTGGACCTGAACAGCTATCGTAAGTTCTTGAACCAGGAGGAAAAAGTGAAGCAAACGGATCTGTCAATAAACATACAGAGTGTCAGGGCAGAAGAGTCCTTGGGACCATCCAGCCCCTATGTTCTCATTTAACAATCAAGAGAAATTGAGACTTAGAGAAGGTAAGGGACTTAGCTAGGGTTACTGAAAGAATAAGGGGACATAAAAATATAACATTGCAGTCAAATGCAAGGCATGGTGCTTTGTGTTTTTAGTATAGTAGAAGTTGTTTTATTTAATTGTCACAGCAATCTTTGGAAGTAGAGTATTATACTCTGAGGACACTGAGGCTGTGAGGAATGAAGTGACTTTTCCAAGAGTGCCATAGTTCATGGGTGGTGGAACAGGGACTTAGGTCCAAGTTTTTATGAGTGCAAAGTCCACCTTGCCATCACCCTGAACCTGTGACTTCAGCTCTCAGCTCTGACCAGGCAACCTCAAGGAAGGAAATGTTGTTTGAGATTCATATCATTCCTGTACCTTAATGGTTAGACTAGACAGCTTGAGATAGTGGATGGGTAATGATAAATAGCAGTGATAAGGTATCTTGCCAATATCAAGTGCCTAGGAATATTTAGTGTTAATCATACTAATGGACCATAGTAAGAGGGAAGAGAATTTGTCTCTGGATTTCCTCTAAAAGAGTTAGGATTTTTTTTTTTTTTTTAAAAAAAGAGCTTCCCCCTAGGCAGCCAGTGGCAATTCAGTTTGTCAGTATCCTCTAGAAATGTGAAATGAGTTCCACATAGAGTATCTCCTAGTCGAGTCACTAGTCCCTAGCTTTACCCCTCTCCTACCAGTGACTACACACATGTGTCTACATGTGGAACCCAGAGAGAAAACAGCCACCTTGAGCATTTGGTGCCTCCATGTTTGAACCTTTAGTTCAATCGTAATACATCAAGAAGGAACCTATCCATCTGTTCACCCCACCCATGCTTACAGCATTGACCAAGTGTCCGTTAAGTGCTGGGTTATATGTAAGGGTCTACAAGGAGTGCACACATGCCTCTTCTTCCCCACGAACTATCCTTCTCAATGGTTGTGTATTTGTTGGTAGTTTTACTGTTGGCATGGTCCTTTGTGTGCATATTACCATCATTGTTTACTCTGTCTGATCCCTGTCATCCAGTTGGTCACCAAGTTCTGTCCTCTATCTGTCCTTCACAGCTTCTCTTCCTCTCAGCTCCTCTGCCAATGCCCTAGGTCAGCCCTCTCCATCTCTGGCCTGGACTGTTATAACAGGCTCCTCCCTGGCCTCTCTACCTCCAGGCTACTTGCCACATGGTCACCAATGATCTTCAGAAACACAACATTCACCTGTTCTCAGCATAGTCAAGTGACCCCTCACCACACACGTGCACACGCACACACACATATTCACACACATTTACCTTTCTAGGCTTCTCTTCGCCCCACAGTTCCTCAGCACAAACATTACCCTCTAGCCAGGCTACAGTAACCTCACCCAGCACTGTGCTTACTCTTGTCTCTGGTCCTGTAGGGCTCCCCTTCCTGCCCAAAGTCCTGCCTTGAATTCTCTCCTTGTGCTCTCTGCCTCCCCCTAGCTCCTGTAGTACCCCCAGTTTGCAGTATTCATCTGGCCTCCCTCCCACATCCTGTCTTGTCAACTGTTTTTTTTTTCTTCCTCCATTCCAGGCTGGTCTGTGGCTGCTCCTGAAAAGGGATCACACTTTGTGTTCCATCCCGAAGGAGCTCAGCTAGGCCACAGGAAAAAAAGGATCTACCATTCTCATCTCCAATCCTGCAGGTCTATTGGCTAATGTGTATATTCACATAGCATTTCAGTGCAGAATACAATAGCTGTCATTCATTGTATGCCCACTATGTGCCAGGCACTGTACCAGGCACTCTATGTGAGCTATCTTATCTGCTCCTTCCATTAACCCTGTAAGTTACCACTATTGTCTTTATTTTACTTAGAATGGAACTAAGGCACAGGCCTTGTTCAGGGCCCATGGTCCTATTGTTTCTGTTCTGTCTGCTGTACCACACTGCCTTTCAGAGGGAGTCTGGAAGCTCAGAGACCAAGTTCAAACTCTGGAGTTTTGGGACATGAAATAACCTTAGGTTTTGCATCTTTCCTACCCCATCCCTCCTTTTGCCCAGTATCTTCAAAGCCATGGGGTCGATCTTGCCAGATGAGGACCAGGAGAAGCTGCTGCGCATCTGCTCCATTTATACCCAGAGTGGAGAAAACAGCCTGGTGCAAGAGGGCTTAGAGCCTTCTGCAATGGAGAAGTCTCCATATACACTGGACAGCCTATATTGGACCTTCAAACCAGCTGGCTCCAGCTTTGAGTCTGAAGGAAAGTCTCAGGAGCAGGGTACCCTTAATGATGACAAGGAAGATGAGAAAGAGATCTTGGAAGAGCAAGTGGATGAAGAGGAAGATGATGACCAGAAGGGGGAAGAAGAAGATGATGGAGATGATAATGAAGATGATGAGGAAGACAGAATGGAAGTGGGGCCTTTCTGGATGGGGGGGGAGGAGTTCCTCACTGCTGAGAATGCCAGGCTTCTGGCCCAGAAAAGAGGAGCTTTGCAGGGATCTGTGTGGCAAGTTAGCTCAGGTAAGAAGCCTATATCCACTTTCCACCCCTCATCAGTTTCTTTCCTCTCTGGCTAGCTATGAGGTTTTGCTGCACCCTAGGGAAGAAGTGGAAAGTAGCAGGAGATAGCTAGCCTGAGACAAGCTTGGGAGATGGCGTGGTATATGGATGGCAACTGGCTTTCCTCCCTGAGACTTAGACACCCTGCTGTTTCTTGTTGTTGTTATGTGCTGTCATGTCAGACCTGACTCATAACGACCCCTTCTTGTGTTTCTGAGGCAGTATCACTACGGAAGTAGATTGCCCA